CCCCAAAACCCCAAAACCCCAAAACCCCAATTTAGGATTTTTTTGTTGAAATTATTGAAATTAAGGCAGAATTTAGCAATAGTTTGAACAATCTGGCTTGAAAGAGTATCATTCTAACCTGTCTAGAAGGTTCCAGTTCTCCTTTTTGAAACTGAAATCTAGGATCTTAGTTCCAACGAACTTAAATCTCATCTCGTTGTTGTGCTCCTCTGGACGTACTCGAATTAAGATCGAATGATGTTTATAAAAGTTTGAAGCAATTTTCTCTTTGAAAAGATCCAAAGAGCCAGATTCTTGTTTATCATTCTCAGTAATCTTGACCATATGCTCTTCTCTAAACTTGCTATAAGTTTCTGCTGTCATGCCACCCATTATTGGCTCTGCATTATTTCTATAGAAATTTATGAAGATCGAATCAGAACCATCAGATATCTTGGCTGCAAGCATGTATATGAATTCCCCTTTTTCAAGACTTTTGTTACAGTTTTCACACCGGAAATTTCCTTCATAATCTTGGAATATCTTCCGGCTTCAGTCAGGGCAGCCAAGATATGTTGATCTTTCATCAGCCTTGATGTATGAAACATAGCCATTGATTACATAAAATTGTGAACAAGCATCGATCCCAGCAAGTGGTGCCATTTTGAGTGAGGTCTGCATCTCAGCAATTGTTCTGACATTCTCATTACTTCTCTTTTCCATATCGCTCCTGTTCTGAGTGAGAGATTTGAACTGAGCTTGCTCCTTGATATCCCCATACCATCTAGTCAGCTTATTTAGTCTCTTTTCATTTTGGGTTAACTGAAATGGCTGTTTCCGAACTTGTGTTTAAGGACTTTCCATTAAAATCACTGATTTTAAGGGAAGTAAATGAAACTATATCTCCTGTTTGGAAGGTGAGCTCGCTTGCTTTCTCACCCCAGAAGCATATTTTAATAGATCATCCCTCTTGGTCATCAGAATTATCAGCAATTTCGATCATTCTTTTGTTCTTCTCTCCTCCTGCTCTGAGTCTGATTGTCTCAAGATCAGAGAGGTCAAGAACAACTCCAATAACATTGATTCAAGTTCCATTAGGAAGACCTGAGATAGCACTGATTTGAGTAAACTTCACTTCTGGTGATGCTATTGACCCATCATCTTCAGACCTTTCTATCTCAGCATCGGTCCCGAAGTTGATTCAGAAGTCATTCTGAATAGTTGTGAACTTCTTATTAGCATTTTTGATGGATCCATTTGAGAATGTATAGACAGCTCCTTCATCAAGGATTGGCTCATATTTATCCACAGCTTCTTTGAAGAAAGTAGCCTGGATCATATCTCCATTGAAATCGATTAGATTTATGTTCAGAAGGTATCCTTCACCTCTGGCATTGCTCCACCTCTTTATCTCTCCTTTCTTACTAATCTTGGCTTTGATTTTCCATTCAGGTACGAAAGAATTAAGTGCTCTGATAGGAGTGTAGCTGCTATGAGCATTTATAGAGGCTGGGTTCTGAGCCATTTCGTCAAAATGATCATCTGTCTGCTCTGCTTCTATTTCATCCATCTTAGCTACAACATCCTTTGGAATAGATATATCGATATCATCATGAGGGAATAAGCCATTGCTCAGATTAGTATTATAATCTTTCGGCTTGCCTATCTTGGCACGAAGCCCTGTATATACAAGTTTGGGGATATCTAGGCAGAAGAGGTATGACTTTGGAGAGTTGACCTTCTTGGCAACTCTCGTGATATACACAATATCATTAATCTTTATCTTCCCAGAAACACCTTGGTACTTGTTATACCTCTTCTTGTCCAGGAAGACTATGGATGTCGAGAATCCATCAGAAAGAATGAACCTAGAAGAAATTAGAAGCCTGCTTACTTTTGCTTAACGGATTTGTTCTTATCATTCTCTTCGTAAATTCTTACTTGAAGGACTTGGAGGTAGATTTTATCTTCATTCTTCTCCTCATCCTTGTTCTCCATCTCGTAGATTTTCCGGATTCCGTCTGCAGTGAGAGAGGTTATTTTGGCTCAGTCTTTGTCCATTTTAGTATTTAGGATGCTTGCTTGGCTAATTTGAGATGGTTAATTGTGGAATTTGAAAATCAAGCAATAAAGCTGGATTAGAAATAATCTTTCAATAATCGACTTATTTAGCAGAATTAGGCTGATATAAGATTGTTTCAGGCTTTTGATGTATATTTGGGGTTTTGGGGTTTTGGGGTTTTGGGG